GGGGGAAGATGACGGAGGGGCACAGGGTGATGGGAGAGGCACAGTGAAATCATTAGGCACTGAAATTCTTTAGCAGACCCAAGGGCAACTCCAAGATAGAGAGTATCCATATACTCTTAATTGCATATTTAGCACCATGGTCACATCTCATAGAATGGGAGTCACTCAGGTAAAGTGGAGTCCTGTGATTATGGACTGAAGATCAAGACAGAAAGGATAATATTCTAACTTACCAGTAATCATCTCCAGCCATACATTTTTCATAAACTGGGCCATCGAGCTCCTTAGCATCTGGAAAAATGGCCTCATGATGGATGATGATAGTTTTGATTATTTCATTCACATGAGCCTGACATGACACCTGGTCTTGTATGTCTGGAACAGGCATCAGGGTTGGACCAAAACAAATGGCCAAGTTGTACGGATCCATCATGTTTTCATCGCTGTACTGTGAAAGACTATTACAAAAACAAGTGTAGAGTAAAACAGACTATTTTTTCTCTTAGACCATCTCTGATCTGAAAACTAGATCCTAAAAATGTGAAATTTTCTTCCTGGACACTTAGTCTTATACAACATAATTAAACAACAAATGCATTAGGAGATGCTTTACTTCCTGGCCATATACAACACTGTGTGAATTTATTGTACACACACTACAATTTTTTGTTCATTCTTGCCTTAGATTCAGCTCTGGGAAAAATTTAAGGCACTTGCTTAGTGTGATTCTCCTAACTGTAAAAGCTATACCTACATACATCATACTTACTTGCATACCACACACACCTTTCCCCCCAAATTAGCCATCCAAAATTGGGTAGTAGCCATCCCAAACCATGTTCCAAGCAAGAAGGCTGGTTTCCATGCTGGTGTGAAAGCATGGGGGCCATTAGAATATGTTAAAAAATATATTGCATCTGTACTATGGTATACCTATGCTAAACTGCCATTTTAAAATGTACTTCCATTTTGTAAAAAACCCCACAAAAAACAATAAGAATGTGTGTGTATGTGTGTGTGTTTTGGATGTGTAATTGATAGCTGAATAACTGCAGCAGGTATTAAGCAGACTAGTACAAAATATTTGAAGTAAACAAAGATAACAGTCAGGATAAAGTGCAGGTGGCGGTCCAGAAATGTGAAAATAACACGAATAAGGACTAAAAAACAGACTGGAATGTAAAGACAACATGTAACCAGTAACCGAGTCCAAAAGATGAGCGCGTGTAAAGAATTAAGTGGTAATTGGTGGAAAAATCTCTGGGCACCGATTGAAGTCTGTCTCATGAAGAATAAAAGGGCAGTGAAGGCTGAGCCCAGATGGACGTCTTAACCAGCAATACCAGCCTACCTGCACATTGAAAAAAATTAAAGCCAGCACCCCTCTCGACTGAACATTGCCTTGAAAAAGCCTGCAACTGGCCACCACAGTGCGACTCCAAGTGCCACGGATAGGTAACTTAGTGTGAATGGTGTAGATGGTGTGTAGTATGTATGGTGTAAATAAGGAAGAGTAATTCTTATATAAGCTGCTAAGTTTGCCTCAGTTATCCATATACTATGCAATATACCTTGGTTTGCTGAACCCCTGCATTGGTCATTTATCCAACAGGGTGATGGAATGGCTCCTGGGGGCTGTGCTCACCTCTGGCCATATGCAGCATGGACAGAGTCCACTCTTCAGCATCACTTGCTCCCCCCTTGCTGTCACAGCTGCTGCCAAACTGACAGTAGCTTTTGGCTGCAAAATTTGGCAGTAAAATAAATCCAATTCTCCTTTTGTTCTGCCATATTTTGTTAATGTGCTGTGTGCTACTCTGAGATGCAAATTGTACTGTACATGTGATTAGCCTTGTGATTATTCATGTGCTAAGTAAAGCGGCTTT